GGACCCAGGTGGTGGTGGTCGGAGCCACCTTCCCCGCGGGGCTGAGCCAGACGCTGGAGAAGTTCACCGATGTGGGCCGGTTTGTCACCCTCACGACCCAGAGCCTGCACCACCTGCCACCCCACGTGCAGCAGAAGTTTGTGCGCCTCAAAGGCTGTGACAAGCTGCCCGAACTGCTGCAGCTACTCAAGGAGCGCCCAGCGTACAGCGGGGCTGTCCTCATCTTTTGCAACAGTGCCAGCACTGTCAACTGGCTGGGCTATATCCTGGATGACCACAAAATCAAGCACCTGAGGTTGCAGGGACAGATGTCAGCAACTGCTAGAGCTGGCATCTTTGCCTCTTTCCAGAAGGGTGAAGTGTCTGTCCTTGTCTGCACTGACCTTGCCTCTCGGGGGCTGGACACCAGCAGCGTGCAGCTGGTGGTGAACTATGACTTTCCAGACACCCTGCAGGACTACCTGCACCGTGTGGGACGGGTTGGACGCGTTGGAAGCAAGGCGCCTGGAGTCGTGGTTAGTTTTGTCACCCATCGGTGGGATGTGGACCTGGTGCGGAAAATAGAGACTGCAGCCCGGAAAAGGACAGGTCTCCCAGGCATGGACTCCTCTGTTAATAAGCCTCAACCTAAAGGAGGTTGATTCAGGTTGTCAAGGAGTCATAAATGGCCTGGTAGGAACTAAGCTTAAAGTCATTAAGGCAGGGCAAATGAGCTGCTGTGTGTAAGAGTGAAAGAAGAGAGATGTGAGTTTCAGAACCGGGTGGTCAGGTTAACTCTTTGCACTGTTCTGGAAGCTGCAAAAGTCATTGTGGTTTTACAAAAGGAAGCTAGTAAGTGAGTAAGAAAATGCCTTGGAGAAGACTGAAGAATGATCCCATCAGTTGATTTTGTTTGATTTTGTTGAGACTTTTAACTTAAATTCAAACCAGAATGGAAGTATGCCTGTATGATGTGCAGCTCTGTTGCATTTCATTGCTTCCTGCCAGTAGAAGATCAACATTTGCCATTAAAAATTACTACTCTGGAAGTAAAAAAAAAAATATTTTCCCAACTTTGATATAACTTTGGACAATTATGGGTACATGTAGAAAGACTAAAGGACAAATTATGTTTTATTTTCTTGTGATGTAGCAGTTCATTCAGAGAATTCTAGACCAGATACCTCAGAAGTATGGTGGGAATGAGAAGGCACAGTAAAGCTTGAGGCTTTCTCAAGGTCTTGATTTGTAATTTTGTGGCTACCTTTCACTGTGAAAGGGGATCTTGCTGCTTCATGTTCTATTAAATAAAAAAAAAGTCTTTAAGTGTTTTCTGCTCATTTTTTTCTGCATGCTGTAGTGACATGTCCAGTCTCTGAACTGACTGTAAAAACAACCCACAACCCACCAAATGGTTTCTCCTGTCAAAGGAAAGAAGAGTGTTGACTCACAGGTTCTAATGACTCACGGGTAACAATGCGAGTACAATATTTCCTTTTAATGTCGTGCCATTGTTCTTTTCTGCTTTAAACCAAAAGGATTAAAGTGAGGCTGAGGTTATTTCATACTTAGCTGCTGGTTTGTATCCGTGGTAAATAATCACACAAAAATAGCATTTTAGTTCTGATTTCTGTTGCAGTGATTTATCACAGCCTTTCTTTTAGTGGTTGTTTTTCCCATGCTATCCACTTTACCCTGTGCTGAAACTCAGTATGTAGAAATAGTAAGCTGTTAAATGAAAATATCACAACCTAGTATGTAAATCATTGATTTCAGAGAAAGAAGGAGCTACTCTTAGTATACCAAGAGTAAAAACTAAACAAACGGAAAAGTTGCACAGATAATCACTTAAGGATAAGGCTATGTAACCTTATTTTAGAAATTGTAGACGTGTATTCTGTTCACATTGCACAGTTAAGGGGCTTCTAGGGGAAGTTATAATCTGCAGTTAAATTATTTTATCCGATAGAAAGCTTTCAACTTTATAGAAATACTGTGGAAGAGTGATCCACTCAGAGACTGGAAACCTTTATATTTTGGACCCATTCATTACATGGACTGCTTGCCTCTCATCTGTAGTTCATTTAACTGCAAATCAGGCAGTTTATGTGTCCACAAGCAGAAGTTTACTGTTCATGTATAGGAGTAGGGTAAATACTTAAACAAAAATCTCGGGGCGATCTGTAGTATTATAATTTACAGAAAATACTATTTCTATTTGTTAATATGCATCTTGTGTTGTATCAGGTCCTCTGAACTGCTGGGAAATAGCTTCCTTTAACTGTAGACACAGATTAATTTAAGTGAAGTAAATTTTGTTCGAGAAACTCTTAAGTAAGAAATTCTAATATTTGCCTGCCAGCTTTGCCTAAGCAATTTCAGGCTGACTCCATCTCAAGTGTCGTATAATTTGACTCTGACCTTTTTCAGAGCTGTAGCACTTCACTGTATTAGCATAAATACTGAGTTACTACCAGCTTCATGGAGTGTCTTTCTCTCCTGAGGCAGCTGGTGATGGTGACTGTTCAACACACAGAGTTGCCCTTTTAAGTTTCTGAGGAAAATTGTTGCTTGGGATCTCAGATGTCTGACTTCAAGTATTTGTTTTCTCATATAGCTGTTATACAGGATTAAATCAAATACTTGTTCAGGCTAAAATTTCGTAACTGTTGCAGATGTTAAGTACTAAAATACTTTACTCTATTACCTGCAGTTTCCAGCTAAGTGATGCAACCAAAGTTAACCAGTTAAGTGATGTCACATAAACAATAACTTCTGACACAAGATTCACGGTCAAACTGTGTGGCAATGGTCATTCATAATTATTGCATCTGCTTAATTTGTGTCAGTAACTAAGTGGCACTGGTGGTAACAGAGTAGTTTTTTTCTTGGGTTAAAATATGTGGAAGTAAAACAGGATAAAGGTTGACTTCCAATAAATTAACCAGATTATAAAAGGCAATATGGGCATACTTGACACTGAGGTATAAAATATACATGTTAAAAATGAATGATGGGTGTTATTACATGTCACAGAAATTAATTTTAAGTATTATGGCCATAACAAAAGATGTTGAAGATGTTCTACAAGGTTATATTTGGATATTTTTGTTACTGTTTTTAGATGTATAATTTGTAGTTCTGTAACTCATGATCTACGCATCTGGAATAGTGTTACAATGAATCCCTTGACAGGCCTGGACTGCAGCACACAATACTATCAAATTATACAACACAGTGAAATAATAATGTTCTTTAAGCCATGACCTTCTCAATTTTGAAGTAATATGCACTTTATATATTTACAAACAGTAACCTTGAACTCAGTACAAATGCTCTAAACTGATTGTTGGTAGGGCACTTAATCAAAACAGTTTGTCAAAAAAGACCCTAAAAACCTTTTGGCATTTATATACTAAAGTGACCAATAAAAAGCTTCGGGCAGATATACTCAGAGAACACTACATTTACCAATAAAGCCTTTTGTAAACATTACTTTCAAGCAAAGCCACTGTTCTTTTAAGCACATATTGAGATGTAAAGCTTTCCTACTGTTGCTCACAAAGAGACAATTACTGGAGCCAGTGATTAACAGCTGTAATTACATTTAGGTACATGCAGACATTCAAACCCCAGGATATATAAGCTGAGACACAGCCATCAAATGCAGACATCCGCAACACTGATGCACATGTGAAAGGTCTTACTGCCCAATAGGTAAATACAATAGCAAAGCCTTCAAGGAGATTCAGAGACTATCACAGCTAGCGAGCTAAAAATACATGTAGCTCACATATGGTCAGACTTGTTTAAGAAACAAAGACATCTTCAGAGGCTTTTTAGTTTTACTTTTCCCAAACTGCTTTTCAGTGCTCTCTACATGTCACATCACTCATTGTTCACAGCACACATAATTACCTGTTCTTTTCTTGTTTGTCCTTATCCTACCTTCTGTGTAACTCTTACTTTGGACTTTATGGGCATAACTACAACTGCAGGTGTGTTCTATCTATGGGCACCAGAAGGACATGCAGATGCTCCTGTTGCAGATAGCCTAGTGCCTACCAAGGTACCCTAGGACAAGCTGCATCGAGTGTCCTGACAGCCAGATGGAACAATGCCTCCTACCGCTCTGGTAATCTGACAAAGCCCCCATTTTTGCAGGCTGCACTGCTCCCCAAAATGCACTTGTATACCTGTTCTCCCCAGGTAGCACCCTTTCGCCTCCTCTTCGTCCCAAAATGTATTGATGAGCCCAATTTACATGTTGGTGGTGGAGTGCGTGGTAGAGAAGTTCTCCATGCGTATTCTGACCAGTTTCTCAGTGGGAACCGGCCGCAGGAAGAACTTGCAGGTGAAGACTTGCTGGCAGGCCTTGCGGAAGTTTTCTGAGAGGAAAGCGTAAATGATGGGGTTGATGCAGGAGTTCCCGTAGGCTAAGCAGTGCGAGATGATGCGGAAGGTGAAGGAGATGTTGTTCAGGGGAAAGTGCCCAAACTCTGCCCACATGGTGATGATGTGGTGTGGCAGCCAGGAGAGCAGGAACACGGCGACCACGAGAAGCACCGTCTGTGCTGTCTGGGAAAGACAAGATCGCGTGTTAAATGGTCGCAGTGATCAGGTGGGTCTGTGGTAAGAGCGAGTTTGCTGTCCTCTGTCCGTAGTGAAAGCAGTGTAACACAGGTAACACTGACAACTGCCAGGTGGGACAATTATGACAATATGAAAAAGGATACTAAAAAACCCTCTCCTCCCTGGAAAAACAGGGATTGCCTGGTTTTGGCACGAGCAAATAACTCTATAGGCAATGGAGACAGTGCCCATAAAACCTCAAACAACACAGAGGCTGCAACAGTAATGCTATCTGTGTTACACAAAGAGTGGAAATAATGTTCCCTAACATTTGGAGACTGAGGAAGATTAAGGCTATTGAAAATAACTGTGGGGGAAAACAGCCTGGCTGCAAGGAAATGGGCCACTCAGAGGAGTTACAGAGACCAACCCCGCGTGTTTCTGAGGAGAAAGATTTTTTCAGTAGCTTCCCTCTTAGGGAGAAACCAAGAAAAACAATGTATGGGGGATGATTTTTTAAAAACATGCAGTGTTCTTTGGTTAGAAATATTCCCAGCTAGACAGTTCCCCGTGGGACCCCGGGCTGCATGCTGGCTGGGCTGCAGGCGGGCCCCTGCAGAGCTGGCTCTCCAGTTAGGCTGGCCAGCTGCTATCACAAGGTGTCGTTTATAAGGTCCAAAGCTTGACCCGAGGTAAAATTTTCCTGAAAACAGTGTTCTGTGAAGTCACCATCTAAAAGGGAGGTTAACATGAGGTAAGCTGCTGACTGTAGCTGTGGCTGGGGATGAAGAACGAGGGCTGAGGCAGGGCCTTGGGAGGGCTGAGGAACATGGCGGAGGCAGCCTTGACCAAGGGCAGGTGGTACCAGTTACTTGAGCTGTTTTGGTGTGAAATTTAGCAGGCTATTTCTCTGGGTTTTGTTCCTTTTGTTGAGGGGAAATAGTAGCTTGGGGAGAGGGGCCCAGGCTGTGAGGAACCTGGGGAGAGAGGACTGAAGGTGAAGACTGGGGTGCCTGTGTTGTGGGGCTGTGAGTCCAGGCTGTCTGCTGTCCCTGAGGTGGAGATCCTCAGCAAAGTAAGTTAAGTCCCC